ATAGTTAACTTAAATCCTTACTACATAGCCCAATAATGAATACGTTTTAATAAAGTAAGAGAAGTGAAAATGCAGTTTGCGGTCCCCCAATTTCAGAACTCATAGTCCGTATGCATACGGGATTCAGTCCGGTTTGTTGTCGGTGTTTACCTTTTGTTTGTCCGTATTCGAGTCTCGTTTATCCTTGTCACTGTCCGTGTTTCGTTTATATTTACGGAGGTACCAAAAGAGGAGCCCATGGCGGAAGGATATCTGGCTCCAAGTTAGAAAAGTCGTTAATCGCAAAGCCATTGTAGTCTCCGCATATTCCACGTACTCCTAACATAGCGGCGGAGTGTACGGGGGTCATGGTTATCCACACTGAGTGCAGAGCGACATAAACAGTCATTGGAACGTCAAAGCAATCTATAACATAACCTCTGGGATTAAAGTAACCCACGGTAACAGTTCCACCGGCAAATACGTATGGTGGTGGAATTGGATCCCACCCTGCCCCGACCCAATGCTGGAAACAAAAAGCAAATTAATATGTTAGTATATGTCTAGCGCAATGGACTACATCTATTAGTGTCGAGAATAATTAGAATGCGCACTTTAATCAAAATACTATGACCATACCTCTAAATTGTTGCATAATAATTCTGACTAGAAAGGAGCTAGAAAGGACAAAAAAGAATGCGATAGCTTAATGCAAAATGTGTTCACTGGGTTGAAAACTATTGGGAAGAAGACTCACCGACAATGCCACAGTAGGACCTAACACAGCCCTAAAGTATTCGCCTGAACACTTAACGTAGACTTCATCGATGCGCGTTTTCGACACTTCAAAGTATTTATAGATGAAGTATTCTTGAGTCGTAACCACCCACCAAGGACGAAACATCCAGGACATGACCATAACGCCAAGTTTAGTAACAGGGGTGTTATAGAGGAACTTCAGACCGTCCAATGTACGGTAACGTACATCGCCTCGTCCCCAACATGTGCTATTCCTAACTAAAAGAACAGAGAATTTCAAGTTTGAGTATGTTATGTTAATAAGTGTCAATTAATACACATTGAATAACACAGCTTTGAATAGCACAACAAGTAAATGTGAAGGGTTACAACAAGCCCAGCCACCCTTTTGCATTTTATTACACCCGCCATACTGTAAACACGAATTCCTTGGTATGAAATAAACTATTTTAACTTTTTGCACTTATGGATGGTACTTTGAATGTATCAGATCAATAACTATAGGATACACCCTTATGACCATAATAAGCAAATATAAAGTTATTCAATTGCATAACATAGAGATAATCTTATAATCGCTATAGTCACTAAAATTTATCTCGTCGCAATGGTGCCTAAATTGATGTAGCTTTTGAAATGTACGTTGGTTTTCTTGTCAGCCATCACGCTCACACTCAATCAATGTTGGTCATGTTTACTTACTGTCAAGGCTGTATTGGCCAGGTACCGGTTTATGTGAGGTGTTGCCTTCGTATGGCTTAAGCTCGTCTTCAATGTCAGCGGGAGTGAGAGCGGCATCTACCATCGTACCAGGCCCAACGGAGACTAGCATTATGGCAACAGCCAGGGAAATAAGGTGTCGATCCATGATGTCGGTAAGCAGATATCTCAACAGTCGTCGATGTGAGGATTTATATAGAACTGGAGCTCATTCAATTTATACTGAGGCGGATTAGAAACTACCAATAGGCGTTTAGATAAATATTAATATTGACGTCATCGAATTGTTTAACATTTTTTTATTTCCACACGTGTCCCTATTTTGTTACTTGTTCTTAAGTTTAAATGTCTGGAAAAGAGTTAACATTTTTACTTTTGAATTGTCGAAACTTCTTAAGGATAGATATGGTAGTCGATATAGTACAGGACATGAAAGACAGCATAATTTATTGAAGGGAATGTCTTAAATCAAGGAGCTCTGAGGCCGATGGTCTTCTTTGCCTCAGTACAAAAACAACAACTACATAAACAAGTTCAGTCTGATTATGGAATAAAAAGACAATTCTAACTAGAAGCTACTGATAACAGAAATAAACTTCACTGACGAAAAATGTTATACAGTCTTTCTCCGCCTCCCTTATCATCTGTTCTATGTCAAATGGTCATGGTAGAGAGTCTGATGTTGTACGTGATACTGTACACGCCATCAATAGGGCTGAAACTTTTAAGTTTAATTAAAATAAAAGTACAAAAATGACCCAGGCGGCGCATGCGTAATGCGGTAAATAAGTGATGAAGCTTACGTCTTCCCACAAACCTTGAGCAAGGTTAGATAACAGCTGGCGAAATCAAAACAACACCTATTCCAGAGAAGAATTTCATCAGCTGTGCTATGTTTTAAGAATGAAGTAATCTTTCTTCTGTCACCAGTTTAAAATTGAAATAGATTTCACTTCCAATGTTTCGATGTGTAGCAGAAAATCTTCATCAGGGATATTCACCTTGATAGCCTCATTTTCTCCAGGTGTCCTATAGATATCTACCGTGGACACGGGGTACCTGATGCTATGCCTGGTACTCCAGGTGTCCTATAGATATCTACCGTGGACATTGGCTATCTGATGCTATACCTGATGGTCACAGTGCATAACTGGAAAGCTTAAGATAATTCTTAGATTGGCGTAAGCCAGTTTTTAAAACAATGTAAAAATAACCTCCAATTTTATTGAGTTATTTAATGAAAGCAACATACAGTTGGTCTGTTACATGTAACGACATTGTCCTGCAGTGGTCAGATGTGACATAATGTCAATGATGTATCAGGTCGATTGATATTTCTGTAGTCTGAATCAAAATGGCTACGAATGCCTCAATTTACATGACGAAAATAAACCAACCGACCAAAAATCACGGTGTTAAATTGGGAAAGAGGAATCTGGACCTAACCATGGGTGCCAGATAATCAATGTTCCCTTTATCATCAATATCTCGACCCGTCTACTGTACAATAAATCCACGGGGATTCTCGCTGAATGCAATCAGATTGACAGACTAAAATGGATTCTACAGAAAAGCTGGCGATTTTACATTCACACCCACATGCAATGATTTGAAGTATGCATTACATGTAGGTAATGATTTCTTTAAAAAATGTTTCAAGTACACTGTTAATAAGTACACGTTTGTAAATGACATGGAGTCGCTGCAAAATGTGTCGAGACAAGGACAAGCTGTCTTGCAAAGATAAGGTTTCAAAACACGGTTGAATGTGTGATGTGTTGAGGTAGACATAAGACATGAGCTCTTCCTAGAATCGGGTATTGGCACAGAACCGAACAAAGGGGAAGAATGGAAAACACTCGGAGACTTTAAACCAATGATAAAGAGACACAGAAAGAAAATTAGGGAAAAAGAGACTGCTCTGCAGTATTACAACGATACCTTTTTTTTACAGGTAAATGTCTCCCTTACCACAAACAGGTTAGCATAGTAACAGGTAGCTATATGGCTTAATACAGTACATGATCATGATATTTTAGGTTTCAAATACAGCATTTATTATTATATTATTGAGAGATAATATACATTATTTAGGTGGCAATGATAAAGAATGTTAGCAAAATTATGTGAGAATAAAAAGGCGACGGCAAGATCAGAAACAGGTTGAAAATTAAAAACATGTTTTTATGGAGTATGACCGTACATCATATTAAATTTCTTAATTCTTTTGCAATTGGATTCATGAATAAATTCTAGGTAAACAAAGTTACTTAAATAAAATTCTTAAATAATAAACATTCATTCATTTCCATAAACACAGCGTCTCATTTGCGACATTTGATAAACCTTCTAGAAATAAGAACAAGCGTAGGGGAAATCATTTAAATTTTCATGATCTTAGCGTTTTATGTTCAAACTATACAGGCAAATAGGGGTTTTGCAGCCTACTCGCTTCATAACCTCTGGAGTCGTTTGCATAATATTGAAAGAAATATACATTAATGAGATGGAAAAGAAAGTTAGCAATTTTTGTGATAATTTAAAGATATAACGGCGGGTGTAAAAGGCTTCAGCAGATCGAATCAGACTGAATTAGGATCTTATTTGCTCTATACCCCTGTACATGTGTTTTTTCATGTTATAAGTGGGGATCAGATAACCCATGTCCACGGTAGATATCTATAGGGCAACTGGAGTACCAGGTCTAGCATCAGAAAGCCCGTTCTTCTTCTAGCCATTGTTATTTAGCTGTTCTGCCATTCTCTATGGTGTTGTGTATTTACTTGTACATGTATTTATCCGGGTCTCCATTAACTAGTCTCCTCTCTTAATTTACCAGTGACTGGTAGGGTCCTTCCTCTCTTCTTTAGGTATATGGCTGTTTGCTGCCTGCATTTTCATGTTGTTCCAGTGAGATTTTGGAGTATTTATAGGCTTGTCATATTCTAAAATCAGTTACCTTTTTTAAAAACATTATAATGATGCCAGTTACATGATTAAAAATGATTTACCATAAATACAGAACGTATAGGTAGAATACATAAAATCTCGAATTTGGCAGAACACGGAGAAAGTCATTTAATTTTTTAAGGCGACGGCGGATGTAGAAAGCATGAACAGAAACAGGTTGAGAATTAAAAACATATTTTATGGAGTATGACCGTACATCATATTAAATTCCTTAATTCTTTTGCTTTGGTTTCATGAGAAAATTTTAGGTAAATAAAGTTTCTTAAATAAAATTCTTAAATAACAAACATTCATTCATTTCCATAAACACAGCGTCTCATTTGCGACATTTGATAAACCTTTTAGAAATAAGAACAAACGTAGGGGAAATCATTTAAATATTTATGATCTTAGTGTTTTTGTCCAAACTACACAGGCAAATAGGGGTTTTGCAGCCTACTCTCTTCATAATCTCTGGAGTCGTTTGCATAATATTGAGAGAAATATACATTAATGAGACGGAAAAGAAAGTTAGCAATTTTTAATGGGAATTTAAAGATATGACGGCGCCATAAACAGTTTAAGCAAATAATGAATTGGTCAGAAATCGCAACATAAAGCATGATTAAGAATAAAATTGATATTAAATGAAGCAATTAACCTGCTACCCGCTACATATTTACTTGTTTTTATTCTCCCCCAATCTATTCAGCTATCGGTAAAAAGAGTGGCTGAGTTCTATTTTTACAAGCATTGTACTTATAATGTATTATTAGGAACAAGAAAGAGGGGCGTGATCTTAGATGATTTTTACAATTATGTCTCTATTGTATTTTCCCGACAGTTCTGTAAAAATCCAGTTTAATCAGTGAATCCTTTTGAGAAGATATTTTGATTTGTGAATTATTTAAATTTGTGCTTGCCTCCCGGCAGTACCCAAGTCATAGCAGTTTTAGAATTTGGTTGCATCTCAATTGGTAGTCGAATGATGTATCCTGCCAATTTTATCCTACGAATGGTAACTGTAATAGTTACATTATACAAAATATAAAAAGATGAGAATAAAATGTTTAAGAAACAATAGATAATCAATCGTATGTACTTTCCAAGACTTTTTCGATCTCGCTTATACTGTCATCACTTTATGTTGGTAAATATGAGGCATACAAGCAGCCTTTTCCACAACATAATTTTCGATTGCATCCCTGCCTTTTGGTAATCTCCATATACCACAGGACTGACGTGATATGTGCACAACTTTCAACTGCCCAGGCTCCTACTTTACACTGACAGTACCAGCCATTGATGGGTCTAGTTTTGCTATGGGAGATCAAAATCCATAATGTGTACTGGTGTCTAGATGTGTGCTACCTGCAGATTTGTTAATTGCATTTTGGCTCTCATTAAATTAGGTGCATTCTGACATACACTAATTCCAAGCTGGCCATCTAGCAGATGCTCATCAGTATAGTGGCTAGCTTGCTTTATCTGGTAAACGTCTGGTTATTATATAATTATAAGCTAGTGGTGTAGAGCCGCATTTTGCAACCNATGGCACCAAGTGAACAGTTATGGCTGGTTTCTGGTCAATCACTTCACCAGGGAACAGGGTCGGGGGCTCTACATGTAGACTTGTACAGTGAGGACACACCAGGCACTTGTCACGTGGTAAGCCAGGCCAATCTTCCTCCAGGATGTCCATAAGGTGATCATGGTTTTGGAGCAGTGTTCTCCACAGGTCTGGGAGATGTTGACCTCGGACAGCAATGGTGATCACCCAGTCTCTGTCCGTCTGGCTTCTGGTCATTTGCATGCAGTGTGATGCCATGTCCACAAATACCCCATCTCTCCAGTCTCTCCTCATAGGCTGAAAGTGTCCCAGGGTTGAATGAAGGCGCACTGACAATTTCTCATAGAGACCATCAGGACAGCGATATGGGAAATACACATTCAGGGTAAGCTGTGTACTGTCCTGTGGTACTGAGTGAGGCCACTTGGTGTCCATGATTGGTGGGCGGCTTTGTTCCAGTAGCCATGGAAAGTGAAACGTGTAACCATCTTTGCCCTCGTTCGCCTTGAAGCATAATTCCAGCCTCTGCATGAGCTCCACCATTGCACTGGTTTCTCTGGCTGTCAAACCAAATGGTTCCCATAGAGCCTCCATCACCTGCACAGAGAGAATTCCTCTCATGATGAAATCTTCTTTAATTCTCTCTGCCATTGGTTCACTGACGATGATTTGTTTTAGAAACTCAAATTTATCCTTATCGTGGTTGAGGACTGCCTTGAGGAGATCAGCTAGAACGTCCTGTCTGTGGAAGATAGTGTTTCTAAGGATTGGACTATTCGGATACCAGATGAAATCACCTCTGTTGGCAAGGTAAGCAAGGATACCATTTACTTCATCCTCTGGTTTTTGACGAAATGTCATCCATAAGAATGTTTTGGTACCTCTGAAACCTTCAACTGAGTTTCGTATGGCTTGTGTTATATTTTCCCTGCAAATGGTGCTTTCAGCTTTATTTTCTTTTTTTGCATAGATGATCTTTGCTGCTCCATGCCAGGCTTGTGGTAGGGTAACACTTCTTTTCTTTGCTTGGGTAGATAGATAATCTTTAAGGTCACTTAAACCTGCTTTGGTCTTGGAACTCACCATGAAAATGTAATGATGGATTCTTGATTCATCATATCCTCTTATATTCTCCAGTGATTCTATCTTCTCCTTGTATGCTGAAATCAGACCTTGATTTCTGTTTTTCTGTGAGGTCTGTATTTTTTCCTTGAGATCTCTTATTTGCCTTTCATACCACTTTTGCCTGCATATCTTTTCATGTGTGATTGCTTCTTGAATAGATTCACAGACAGCCTTGCAGGTCAACTCATTAGTTTTATCGCGATGTGTACCAACTAATGCAATTGTCACCCCTGGATTATGGGACTGCACCATATCTATCCACATTCCAATATGTCGTCCAAAATGTGATCTGCTGTTTGTGTCATAGGTCGACAAGTCAAAGGTGACAAGAACTATACTGTTCTGTGAGATGAAGATACGGTGCCCAACTCTGTACACATCATGACCTCCAAAGTCATTGATGTTAAAACTGACACCCCTTTCAATTTCCCACAGTGATTGCTCCACAACTCTAGTTCTATCAGCCTTATCAGTCAACATAGGGGTGTCATGCCTTAAGGAGCGCGCAAAACTGGTTTTCCCACTTTCTGTCTCTCCTAGGATGTTTATTTGGATTCTGCAAGACTTGACTGCTTTTGATTCTTTGAGTTCTGTTAAGAATCTGAGTATTGCGTCTTGTCCTGCCTCACACACTGACTTGGGTGGTTGCTGGATGGGGTTATCGTCCACACACAGATCACGAAGTGTAAGTGAAGCAAGCTGGTGGGGTAAATGTGTAATATTATTGCTGGAAACATTCAGATACTTCAGTGCGGTCATATAACTGACATCAGAAGGGAGCTTGGATAGCTTGTTAAACTCTAGGTCCAGGTTCTCTATGTGTGGTAGAGCACACACTGAAACTGGGAGCTCTGTGAGCTGATTATATTTGAGGCTTAATCTCTTCAGTGTGGTCATTTTACTGATATCAGCAGGGAGACCGGATAGCTTGTTTTTATGTAGGTCCAGGTTCTCTATATGTGGTAGAGTACACAGTGAGCCTGGGAGCTCTGTGAGCTGATTACCCCCAAGGTTTAATCTCTTCAGTGTGGTCAACTTACTGATATCAGTGTGGAGACTGGATAGTCTGTTCTTCCACAGGTCCAGGTTTTCTATATGTGGTAGAGCACACACTGAGGCTGGGAGCTCTGTGAACTGATTACACCCGAGGTCTAAACTCTTCAGTGTGGTCAACTTACTAAAATCGGGAGGAAGACTGGATAGCTTGTTATGCTTTAGGTCCAGGTTCCCTATATGTGGTAGAGCACACACTGAGGCCGGGAGCTCTGTGAACTGATTCCGACTGAGATTAAGATATGTGACATGTTTTAACTGAGACAACGACCAAGGAAGAGACGAAAGTTTGTTCCCTCTCAGATTGATCCTCTTCACATTGATGCATCTATCTATGTTGTTAGGGATGTGGTCAATGTTCTGATGCGCTAGCTCCAGCACTGTACACTGGGTGACCATGTCTGGTATTGGTGTCTGGTCGTCTGCTGGTCTTCTCTCCAAATCTCGTAGAAAGTGCAATACCTCCATGCCTCCTTTAAATTCTTCAGCCATGCTGTCCTCTTTTCCACACTCCTGATAGTCCTGTGCACTCTTCGTAACTGAAAGGGATACATCTGTTTTACTGATATGATATAATTTAGTCCTAGTTCTCTTTTCGAAAAGCCCATTAGGTCTCCAATATAGCCTGGATTGTCTAAAAACAGACAGATCTCCATCGGAAAAGCTAAATCTCAGTTTTTGTAAACAAATTTTAGGTGTTCACCCAAAAACTTCAAACCACACAGTAAGAGGAGAGACTGGAAGGATTCCTGTTTACATAAAAATTAACATACAATTAATAAAATTTTGGCTCAAAATATTACGCACAGACGAAAACAACCTACTCAAACAAGCATACCTAGATGAATTACATTATTACAATTTACTCACAACAAAAAGCCTGCCAAATCTGAATGATGATAACCTGTCATGGAGTGAAGGTATTATGAAACTCTTGTTTGAAAACGGATTTGGAGATGTATGGCTAAAACAGAATCCTGACATAAATTTCCTAAGTATGTTCAGAGAACGAATCATAAGTGGGTACATACAAAACTGGCACAGTGAGCTTGAAGACAAATCCAAATCCAGAGTATATTGCCAATTCAAAAATACATTCAAAAAAGAAAAATATTTAGACCTTCTTCACGATACTGATAAAAGAAAAAACCTAAGCCGTTTTCGCACCAGTGGGCATAAACTTCACATTGAAACAGGCAGATACAATAACACTCCTCGGACCGACAGAATATGCCATTACTGTTCTAAAGACAAAATTGAAGACGAAAAACACTTTCTCACAACATGCCCCCTATACAACGACCTGCGAACAATATTATATAAGGTATTTACAAAACACGATACACATTTTGGCCTAAAAACAACGGATGAAAAATTTACTATAATTATGAAATGTCAAGAAAAAGAAACCCTTATTGCACTAGCTCAGTTTCTCTCCTCCGCATTTGCTAGGAGGGATCTACAAGACAGTGCTGCACTCATCGGTAATTGAGTAATAGTAGTAATAGAAACTTTTTTAAATAGTAAATAAGTAAATATCCTTACTCATTGTGATTGTTTAATAACATATTCACAAAAATTGTATTCATATTGTCATTTTCATCCACACAAGTGGATGCATATGTTACAGTGAAATAAACTTAAACTATAATTTATCTTGTATGTGTGTATGTGTGTGTGTTTCGGTTCTCAGTGGTTTTTGAGCGCAAGGAGAAATATTGCCTCTTCTTTCTCAAACACATGTATATATTTTGTAATTGTTATGCATTTTTACATTATGATTATGCATTAAACACTGTTTCCTATGATCTTGACTTAACTTATTAATGAGCAACAACAACAACAAAAAAGCAAAACAAAAACAGCATACTATGTATTATCATTTTTACGATATATTTACTTAATATTTCTTTACTAAAATTGAAATTTCAATATTATGTAATCAGATTTCAAAAGGTCTAGGCAAAATAAAATAGTACCTAGACTTCTGGCTAGGTAAAATTTAATATAAAACCCGATTTAAAATCTTACTGGATCACACTGAAATTCCAATCCTAGTGTGATTCTAAATCTGACTAGGTCAGAATGTAAATTCATTCTTACAATTTTATAAATCGTATTATGTCGAATTGAAAGCACCATCCTAGGCCCATTAAAACCTGACTGGTTCTCAATCTGGCCTAGGCCTGCGGCACGTATGTAGCTTATTGACTAATGGAGGGAAACTTCATAAATGGGGTGTCAAAAATGAAAAGTTTCAGTTACTCGAACGGGCACTTGAGGATGAGTAAGTCATTACCTGGCAACTTGATTAAGGAGGGGGAAACAATTAAAAGCGTTAGTTACTTGTAGCTTTTCAAACAGGTATTATTGGATGAGTGTGATCACCTGTTGTCTGGGACATTATAGTTTCATTGGTGTTCATATCGTGTTTGTGTCTGTCTTCACACAGGGGGGTGGTGACATCTGGATGAGGTACAGCTGAGACACATGGTGGTTCATCAGAGTTTTCAAAGGTCAGCGTCTGAGTCTGGTGCTTACTTGCTTCTTCATCCATATGAGATGGTAAAACAGCCACGGGTTCTCTGTCACTCCCGCTGCCAGTCATTGTGGCTGAAATTTCACAGTCCACTGAGCCTAGAATTCAGAATAAAGAAATATCTAGACATACTTGCATTTTATTAAGTAACTTGATAATGACATTATATAACACAACATACTATAACTTTACGTCAGTAACTACTAACAAAACCNGGTCATAGGTCGACAAGTCAAAGGTGACAAGAACTATACTGTTCTGTGAGATGAAGATACGGTGTCCAACTCTGTACACATCATGACCTCCAAAGTCATTGATGTTAAAACTGACACCCCTTTCAATTTCCCACAGTGATTGCTCCACAACTCTAGTTCTATCTGCTACATCAGTCAACATAGGGGTGTCATGCCTTAAGGAGCGCGCTAAACTGGTTTTCCCACTTTCTGTCTCTCCTAGGATGTTTATTTGGATTCTGCAAGACTTGACTGCTTTTGATTCTTTGAGTTCTGTTAAGAATCTGAGTATTGCGTCTTGTCCTGCCTCACACACTGACTTGGGTGGTTGCTGGATGGGGTTATCATCCACACACAGATCACGAAGTGTAAGTGAAGCAAGCTGGTGGGGTAAATGTGTAATATTATTGCTGGAAACATTCAGATACTTCAGTGCGGTCATATAACTGACATCAGAAGGGAGCCTGGATAGCTTGTTAAACTCTAGGTCCAGGTTCTCTATATGTGGTAGAGCACACACTGAGGCTGGGAGCTCTGTGAGCATATTATATTTGAGGCTTAATCTCTTCAGTGTGGTCATTTTACTGATATCAGGAGGGAGACTGGATAGCTTGTTTTTATGTAGGTCCAGGTTCTCTATATGTGGTAGAGTACACAATGAGCTTGGCAGCTCTGTGAGCTGATTACCCCCAAGGTTTAATCTCTTCAGTGTGGTCAACTTACTGATATCAGTGTGGAGACTGGATAGTCTGTTATTCCACAGGTCCAGGTTTTCTATATGTGGTAGAGCACACACTGGAGCTGGGAGCTCTGTGAACTGATTACACCCGAGGTCTAAACTCTTCAGTGTGGTCAACTTACTAAAATCGGGAGGAAGACTGGATAGCTTGTTATGCTTTAGGTCCAGGTTCCCTATATGTGGTAGAGCACATACTGAGGCCGGGAGCTTTGTGAACTGATTCCGACTGAGATTAATATATGTGACATTTTTTAACTGAGACAACGACCAAGGAAGTGACGAAAGTTTGTTCCCTCTCAGATTGATCCTCTTCACATTGATGCATCTATCTATGGTGTTAGGTATGTGGTCAATGTTCTGATGCGCTAGCTCCAGCACTGTACACTGGGTGACCATGTCTGGTATTGGTGTCTGGTCATCTGCTGGTCTTCTCTCCAAATCTTGTAGAAAGTGCAATACCTCCACGCCTCCTTTAAATTCTTCAGCCATGTTGTCCTCTTTTCCACACTCCTGATAGTCCTGTGCACTCTTCGTAACTGAAAGGGATACATCTGTTTTACTGATATGATGTAATTTATCTTGTATGTGTGTACGTGTTTCGGTTCTCAGTGGTTTTTGAGCGCAAGGAGAAATATTGCCTCTTCATATATATATTTTGTAATTGTTATGCATTTTTACATTATGATTATGCATTAAACACTGTTTCCTATGATCTTGACTTAACTTATTAATGAGCAACAACAACAACAAAAAAGCAAAACAAAAACAGCATACTATGTATTATCATTTTTACGATATATTCACTTAATATTTCTTTACTATAATTGAAATTTCAATATTATGTAATCAGATTTCAAAAGGTCTAGGCAAAATAAAATAGTACCTAGACTTCTGGCTAGGTAAAATTTAATATAAAACCCGATTTAAAATCTTACTGGATCACACTGAAATTCCAATCCTAGTGTGATTCTAAATCTGACTAGGTCAGAATGTAAATTCATTCTTACAATCTTATAAATCGTATTATGTCGAATTGAAAGCACCATCCTAGGCCCATTAAAACCTGACTGGTTCTCAATCTGGCCTAGGCCTGCGGCACGTACATGTATGTAGCTTATTGACTAATGGAGGGAAACTTCATAAATGGGGTGTCAAAAATGAAAAGTTTCAGTTACTCGAACGGGCACTTGAGGATGAGTAAGTCATTACCTGGCAACTTGATTAAGGAGGGGGAAACAATTAAAAGCGTTAGTTACTTGTAGCTTTTCAAACAGGTATTATTGGATGAGTGTGATCACCTGTTGTCTGGGACATTTTAGTTTCATTGGTGTTCATATCGTGTTTGTGTCTGTCTTCACACAGGGGGGTGGTGACATCTGGATGAGGTACAGCTGAGACACATGGTGGTTCATCAGAGTTTTCAAAGGTCAGCGTCTGAGTCTGGTGCTTACTTGCTTCTTCATCCATATGAGATGGTAAAACAGCCACGGGTTCTCTGTCACTCCTGCTGCCAGTCATTCTGGCTGAAATTTCACAGTCCACTGAGCCTAGAATTCAGAATAAAGAAATATCTAGACATACTTGCATTTTATTAAGTAACTTGATAATGACATTATATAACACAACATACTATAACTTTACGTCAGTAACTACTAACAAAACTAGCGGTGCATATTATGCAAGACTGTTAATACCCTGTATGAATCGTTTCTGACAATTTCCTCCTTTCTAACTAATATTAGCACCGGGAACACTCATTAAAACATTGAAAATATTACTTGCATCTGAAAGCAAAACTTGATCCACAATGGCAATAAATATAATACAGTGTATGGAATTAGTTTTTCATCAATTACAAAGATGGAATGTTTGTGAGGGAAGTCTTTCATGCGAAGAAATGGTATTTTCAAAGCTCTGTGGAAAGAAAAATATAGAACTGCTTATGGAGTACAGATTATAAGAATACTTCCTACCGTTTTTAAGTAGAAAGAAGTATTGCAAAGTACTTTTTACTACTTTTAAAATGCTTAAAAGCTTAAAATAGCCCTTTTTAAGTGAAAAATAAACTGTATATGTATTTTATCAGTGGTAAATGTCAGTTATCTGCATTCAAATTTTCGTTTTTTTTTTCTCTTTAAAAGACCGTTGATACTTTTCGTTCACATTTCATTTGCTTGATAATTTTACTTAGGTTTTATTATACTTTATGGATGCTTCAAAGACGTGGGAAACGTGACTTTACTGAATATGATATCACTCCCATTGACAGCTAGTTCCCCTACTACAAGTAACTTGCAAATTTGATTTGGCTAAAGGGATAGGAACTTTTCGTATGAGATCTATATTTCACAATAAAAACATTGTTAACAACTCAAAGAAGTAAAATATATTCTGTTTTACCGCAAAAGCGGCAGTTATAGCTATTATTCTGATATCTGAGCTTGTCATCGGACCACGTGACCCCCATAGATGGCTATACTCTTTTATAATTTCTTAAGAGATTATAACAAAAAAACACAAACTTTTTTAGAAATAAAGGGGGACTAACCTTGAATGTAGAAATGGATTCATTAACCATTTGTTAGTAAGAGAAAATTGTTATTTACTCCAGGAAAATTCATTTTGGGCCAAAACGAACAGTTTTATACCTTTAATGATTTCAACGTTTTTACTTTTCAAAACATTTCCTTTTAATGTAACATTAAAGGAAACTGAAGTTTTCTTGAAATATCCATTAGATCTACCCTTACACATATCTGTCACCCAAGACTACATGTTTTTCAGTTCATTTCATAAAACCTGACAGTTGCCTTATCTTATTTACATATATAATGGTAACTTAAGACAATTTGCATTGCATGTGAATAGTCATGAAGTAACTGCCGTCATAACTAACAGCAAAATTTAACACAATCGGCATATCCTGAAATGGCAGTTCTGTATTGTGCACTTCATTCATGCTGGTCCCAATATTTTAGTGAGTTTAAGAAAAAAAATATCTAAATGCATAAAATAAATACCTTTGATAATATGAGCTTGTTGATCTAGAGACCATCTTTGTGAATCTCGGTTCTGTGCACCTTTGACCCCTTCCACGCACACCTGTAACTCTCTGACTTGGTGGGTCAGCTCTGACTGAACTTTGTTCACCTGTGTGATTCTTTCAGAGATTTCCTCAAGTTTATTATGTGTATGCTGTGTGCCAATTTTTACCTCCACAAGAACGTTCTCTTCACTTCTTTTTTGGCCGTCCAGGAGTTTTGTTTCCATGAGCTTCACCTGCTCTTTCACATCGTTGTCATAATCATGCCATGTTTTCAAAATGTCCTTGTTTTCCTTCAGTAAAGTAGCATCAAGATGTCGAGTCAAGATGTCATCATAGTCCTCACTGGTGTATATACTAGAGAGAGCCAGGAGGTTGGACTTAAGGCTTGAGAAATGTGCTTTAAAATCTTCATCGCTAATTGCTGCGTTGTTTGCATGGCCGTATACAATATTTCGGTATCTTTTAACTCGCCCAATCGTGGCTTCTCTTGACGTGTCTGTGTCAGAGGGGTTGTCCCATGCATTCAACCCTGGACGTGGATTCAATGTTGTGATGTTTCTCAGCAAAAGCACAGTCAGTGTGATGTCTAAATCACCAACAGTCACTGATGGGGAGGGGTTTCCACCAGGATACAGCTGGTTCTGTTGATGTACATTAAGTATTCTTGATCTTACTAGTCTTTCCAATTTTGTCCTGACAGTTCCATCACCTAGCACCCCACATAACAATCCAGTCTGGGGGTCAAAAACACTGGAATAGCTTTTTGCTAGTTCTTCCCGAAGAACATCTTGCAAGACCGTCAAACCATACTCGACAATCAGAATGGTCATGCGGAAAAAATTTTCCTGTTTAGAGTCGGGCTGTGTTATTGCTGTTGCCATGGTTACCGCCACTTCTTCATCTCTCGTCTCTACTGTAATGTAATAGAAGGTAAGAGAGACTTAATTATAATGTATGCCTCATATTCACAACGCCATCTAATACATCAGATGTATGTAATGAAAGTCTAAATTTGGCAATTAGTTTAAATAGAATTGCAGTGTAAAAATTTCAACAAGATGTTGGTGCAATAACCCTTTATTCTTTGTGGATATTTCCCCCGTCAATGTTTGTCTAAATCTTTACTCTTTCAAGGACAGTTTAAAGTTATCTGACATATTTTCGTGAAAACTTAATGACCAGCCAAGTGTCTCCAGTTCATTCTGTACTCAATTCCGTACCCAAGCAATTTTTTTCTTGAGTAGATCTTTTCGAAGAGGGGGTTTAAATCAATATTTTTAAAAAATGTAGCTTCATACTTAAAAGAATTGGGTATCTCCCACTTTTCATTCCGACAAAAATGCTCTTCTCCGTATTTGCCCTTTATTCATTTATTTGCTGTTGTGCATATTGCAGTAATGTTTGTCATGAATTTTTGGATATCAGACCTTAAGAAATCAATACAATGACATCTCAGCAGCAGTAAAACGAGACAAAAAACGACACCCGCACATTATTGCCATATACGTTCTTGTGAAAATTGCCACCACATAAAGGGAAATGCGTGTGATTAATTACGAAGTTTCTTATTTCTTTTTCATCATCAGAACTCTCTTTTTTTGCTATTTCCTAAATTATGTCATAAAATATATTTCAGCTTAATGGTTGTTACGTGGACTTTATTCTTGAAGCTACCCAGATTGTTAATCGAATGTACAGAGAACAAGAATCAATCAGAATCAATTGATGAAACTGGATAATTTGACACATAACAATCAAATAAAAGACACACACAAAAAAATTGACGACTACAGAGAAAAATGTTCTACTTGACAAAGAATGAGTCAATGCTAGCCACTGATTCCAACCAAAGCGGGAAAAGGGTTTCGATCTGTAGAGAAGCATATCGATATATACGCGTCTAATATTTTTTGTGACCCAAGCTTATATCCCGTATGAAAAAAATATTAGTGTAAGGAGACCTGTCAACCTATTGTAATGATAACTTTTATACTGCACAAAACGCAATCCGATCGAAATTCCACGGTTCGTGTCAGATTTACGTAAACTTGCTCAAAGAAAACCCAAGGACACATAATGACCAGTTTAAGGGTCTATGGGTGTACTTCCAGAGATTTAGATCGATCCAGGGATTAAAATTTAGATCGACCTAACTCCCTGGGGTTTCACGCTAAATTGCAGTCAGACGAGCGGGCACCATAGTTAATTACCCCCTTACAGCTTTTAGTAGGCGGGACAGACGCTTAAGCCGGCCAAACTGACAGTAATCTAGTGAGACTCCCCACAGGGATAGATCGATCTAAAAATCTATGGAAATGGGGTGTATTTTGTTCACGCTCCCTAACTACATGATCTACGTGAAGTCTCAAACTTCTTAATCCTCTCCTATAACTGGCGTCCGAGTTGTTGGCTCTCCCAAGTGGTCTCTCTAAAGGTTTGCTCCCTAGACACTTATTCAGCAGGCTTATATCCCAATTTTTATCTTAGGTGGATCCTGTGCTGCACTATTGCGTGGTGCATACAAATCTCAATTACTCTAATTGCATGCGTCAACTTGTGTTATATAATTACATGTAAGGTCATGAAGTCATAAAACAAGTCGAGTGCATAAAAAACTCCTGAAAATTAATTTTCAAGTTTAGGGATCTGAACTCTATGGTTCTTTTGTTGTACTATTAAGGAATTTGACAACAAATTCTAGTAGGATAGCGTTTGCACATTTCACATTAAGAAAACTAAAATTTTGAAAATGGAATTATCCACATTGCCCGTTTTGGACTTGTTATCGTTAACGGAAGACGCACCAGTTATTGGCGCATCACAGTTATATCTCTTTCTTCTTTTGATGCATTTCAGCAACATAAGGATCGCGATAGTGGTGACGAGTACTGCTGATGATATAGAAATCAGAAGACGGTTTACTTCATCATCTCAAGCACGCTTTCCATGTCATTCATGTCGCGGATCTCAGAGTGAGATCTAGACTAACTTGAAAGTCAGCTTGGTATGTGGACTTCTTAAGTGTTTGTAATGTTATTTTTAATGAAATGGTTGCAAATGTAGTCACCGTTTAAAAGATATTTTATTCATATTGTTAATTATTTATTTTCCTAATGCTGAAAAAGGACACCTGTTCATTTTTATGAGTCAGGTAAAATCTGTTTATGAGTCTGTGAAATGCGTACAAATTTATTATACTAAAATATGCGAAGGCATTGAATGTACGTCAAAAAAAGTATATAAACTCGACATCCAATGATCAAGCAATACATCCAAAACTAGGACTATGAGTGTCCCTAGATAGAAATGAGTAAAGAACTGCTAATATGCACGGACTTCGCTTTGCTTTAATTAAATAAATCCATGCAAGGGTTAAACACGGCATGGCGGTCCCAGCTGTAATATTTATAAAAAATTACCCTTCGTTGTATTTATATTCGAGACGCAACGTGTATGGAACTTTGAAAGAAACAAAGTTACACCTGTAAATGTTTTACATATTGAAAATAAATTTAATTTTTATCCTTTTCTTAAAGACAAACAAAAACAATCTTTGCTTATAAAATTTATTCCAAAATAGATCTGCATTTCTACTACACAGAGGGATAGAATAAGGGTTATTAAGATGAACAGGTCAAGTGAAGTCTCTCAAAGAATAAACGTTTTAACATCTTAATCTTAGCTTATTCGACACAAATTTATCCTTTGTCCTTAAAATGATAAAAACGCAAATTATCTGACTGGTTTACTTACATTTTAAAGTTTTGGTTATCAAAAAATGACAGACATTTAAGCCACTCAAGTTGATAGCAATTTAGCGTGAATCCCCATGGGGTTAGACCGATCCTGTTGGATTGATCTAGGCATGGGAACCCAGTCTTGTATGGACCCAGGGTGCTTTTTGGATAGTTTTAGGGATTCCTGGAAATCCTTCTATAATAAGCACCCCATTTCTGGGAACTGGACATAACANAGGGGAAGAGGAAGAGCTGCCCTTTTGCATATAAAAATCCATTTTTAATAAAAATCCAATTTTAATAAGAATCTGATCTAGTTCTTGTCATTTCTTGAAAAAGGTCCATTTTTTTATAGAAACAACTCCCATTTTGAAATTGCAGACTACAGGCTTAAAAACTGATCTTCAAATTTATATGTCCTTCCTTCCCAATCAGGCACTGCACGGTCCATGATCATAGCACAAGTATGAAGTGAGTTCAGAGAGGTTCTGTGAATTCCCAAGATACAGAAAAATCCTAGGAATACCATGTGGAATGGCATGAAAGTCCATCTATGGAGTTGCCCAATGAATAGGTTTCCTTTTATCTCATTATAAACATGCAGGACTAGAGCCACATTCAGAGTGCATTCCCAGAGATTTAGATCGATTCAACTAGATCGACCTAACGCCCTGGGGGTTCATGCTAAATTGCTGTCAGCTGACCGCGCACGGAAGTTAATTGTGTAAACTCCCTTACAGCTTTTAGTAGGCAGGACAGACATTTAAGCTGGTTAAGCTGACACCAATCTAGTGATACTCCCCAGGGGGATAGATAGATCTAAATATCTATGGGAATGGGATCTAAAACCAGTTTTGGTCACCAATGTGTCACTCAAGACAAAATGGTTACATTTGTTATTCAATGTAATTAAGTAGAAAATTCTCAATGGGTCCACACAGATGGATCTCATTATCAATTAATTTGGTAGTCTGGTTGCATTTTGGACCTGAATAGGTTTGAGTGAATCTGTGTCTGAATACACCTTTGTTTTAATTTTGCATACAGTGCCCTTTGAAGAGTGAATAACAAACACTGCAGGTGAGTTTAATGATCAAATTATGGAAATCCACAGCAGCATATCTCTCTATTAGATTTTGAACAAAACAAGTTGATATTTCTCTGCTGTGGCCAGGTTTGATTTCATCCATTTTAAGTAGAAATCCATGTTCGTATTCATAAAAGGATTTTTTATCAACTGGCTAGCTTTGGAATTCCTAAGAGTTCGTGCAAATATATTCATTCAAAATCTCCTATTTTGAAAAAGACATTTTTCTCAAAAGGTTCTGGCACTTCAAAGGCATATATGCAAGTACTGTACACTTCTATAAACCATATTCAATAGGCAAAAATATTCCCCAAATATTCATAATTGATAAATTTTACAAGTTTCAGTCCATAATATTCTTGCATTTGGTTTAATCAAGATAAATCAATTTTCTCTCCTAATGATAGTAAATCACAATTATTTTCTTTTAAATTTAACTCTCCTGGTAATTTGCAGCTATGTTCTTAGTAATTTACAAAATTCAATATTCTGATCATAAATATTCTGAGAGCACTAATAATGACCATTATGATCTTGAAAGACTGTTGACTCCTAGTAAATCTTGCAAATCACCATGATTAAAGGTGGAACATCCTTGGAAGAGGGGGGGAGATAACCCCCTCCAAATTCCCTCAAACAATAGCTTCCTGGGGCACTAATAAATCTGGGAATTTCTTGAAAATCAGTGTATTCCCCTTACTCTTTAGCATTAAAGATGTTTGTAATTTTTTCTAGACATATAAACATTCTATAGTGCTGCATAATTTCTCTGCATAAATAGATAATCATATATTTAATGTTTATCCCATATGAATTAAATACAGCGAAACCCTAAGGGTCCTCTCTGAAAAGACGTCTTGATGTTGTTTTGGGCCTTCACCAACAGAAGGCTTAATTCAAAAGACTAACCTGACTGCCTTATATATCTTTATAATTAAGTACAAAAATATAAACAAAGCCTGAATGAAGGAATGAAACACTCTAATGAAAAAAAGGGAGAGAGATTTGCTGCAATTTCAAAAATGTAATCTCAGTTGTCAAAAACCCTCTTTGACCA